TTGGATCATGAGAGGCCATGATCGGATTAACAATTGCTTGCCGGAGGAACTAATCATCGACATATTCCGGCGACTTGAATCAAAACCCAGCCGTGACGCTTGTTCCCTTGTCTGCAAACGATGGCTATCTCTCGAGCGACTTAGCCGTACCACCCTTCGTATCGGCGCTTCCTTTTCTCCCGACATATTCGTCACTCTTCTCTCTCGCCGATTCCTCCATGTTACTTCCATCCATGTCGATGAGCGTCTCTCCGTCTCTCTTCCTTCCCTCTCTCCTCCTCCCGTATGTTCTCTCGAATTGTTCTGTTTATTTGTGATCGGATTGGGCAATTATCGATCTGGATTTGAATTTATGTGTCATTCGATTGGATTCATACTGCTTTCGAGTTTTTGTTTGCTCTACATTTCTGGAATTTAGTCACTTTTCTTTAGAGAATGGTTTTCGAAGATAGTGTTATTGGAAACTTCATCCCCTGAGCATGTTTTGTTTTGATTGTTGTTATTACATGGAGAGGGCTTAAAGGAAAACTTTTTACATGTAGAAAAGAAAGCGTGGGAGGGACAAGTCATCGCCTTCATCGAGGAAACGTAGTAAGGATTTGAGTGATAACACATATTCTGAAGCTGAGAACACGGAGTCTTGCAGCTTGACTGATGCGGGATTGACTGCTCTCGCGGATGGTTTTCCGAGGCTAGAAAACTTGAGCTTGATTTGGTGCCCTAATGTTTCGAGTTTTGGTTTGCATTCTCTTGCTCAGAAGTGTACTTCTCTTAAATCCCTGGATCTACAGGTACTTTAATTCACATATGTTCGAAATTATACAAAGAAGCCTTTAGTTTGACGTGATTTTCAGCTATCAATTTATTGTTGTGCAAGGTATATTAACTTATGGTATGAGGAATTTCTGTATCCTTAGTTGGCTTTGATTGAAATACCGTGTTATCTCAGATTGCATGGATCCTACATACATTTTAAAGTTGTCCTAGAACTTGTGGTTCAGATACTCTTGATCGTTCAGTAAAAGTATACGGCTCTCTTTTTTTCAGTCTCTTATCAGCCTGTAACAGTCTTTCTGGCCCTTTTTTGGAACTCTGATCTCATATGCTTAGGATGTGGTCTTCAGGGTTGCTATGTTGGAGATCAAGGCTTAGCAGCTGTTGGAAAGTTTTGTAAGAAACTTGAAGAACTAAACTTGCGTTTTTGTGAAGGCTTAACTGATGCTGGAGTTATTGATCTAGTTGTTGGTTGTGCGAAGTCCTTGAAATCCATCGGTGTTGCTGCCTTAGCAAAAATATCAGATTTATCTCTGGAAGCAGTTGGCTCTCACTGTAAATTTCTAGAAATATTGAGTTTGGATTCTGAATATGTCCATGATAAAGGAGTGATAGCGGTAGCTCAGGGTTGCAAACGGTTGAGAAATCTGAAGCTTCAGTGTGTTAATGTAACGGATGAGGCATTTACCTCTGTGGGAGAGTTGTGTCCTTTGTTGGAGGGATTGGCTTTGTATAGCTTCCAGCAATTTACTGACAAGTTAGTGATCTTGTTCCATTTGGTCTTTTCTTGCATTACGCTCTTCTGTTAGATATTGTTTTGCGAAATTATTGCCCGAGGGTTATGAAACGGGAAATGAAGATCTGTTCAGTGTTGGTTTAACCATTTGAAGGACACTTGCCTTTGTGCTCTTGATAATCCTTTGTTTATTTTTGTGATGGCCTTGCGTAGGATTGTATTTTAACGTGATTTTATCTTGTATTTCAGGGGAATGCGGGCCATTGGGAAAGGGTGTAATAAGCTGAAAAATCTCACTTTAAGTGATTGCTACTTTGTAAGTTGCAAAGGTTTAGAAGCTGTTGCTCATGGTTGCAAGGAACTGACGCGTCTAGAAATTAATGGATGCCACAACATCGGTACTCTTGGAGTAGAGGCAATTGGAAAATCTTGCCGGTACATTTTCTTTCTTACTTTCTTTTTCTTATTGACAGCATCTGAAACTACTAAGGGCTGGATTATTGACTAACCCGTTCTTTCGGATGTATGCAGACGCCTCACTGAGTTGGCTTTATTATATTGTCAAAGGATTGGTAATTCCGCTCTTCAAGAAATTGGAAAGGGGTGTAAATCCCTAGAGATACTTCACTTATTAGACTGTTCAATCATTGGAGACAACGCTATATGCAGTATTGCTAAAGGCTGTGGCAACCTCAAGAAACTCCATATCCGCAGATGCTACGAGGCATAATCTCATATCTCTTCTTTGTTTGAAGTAAGTATTCTCCTTATCTATTGACATAGAGAACTCTTATTTGCGTTTTTTTGTAGATTGGAAACAAAGGAGTTATAGCTGTTGGAAAGCATTGCAAGTCACTAACCGAGCTTAGTCTCCGGTTTTGCGATAAGTAAATTTTGCTACTATTTGAACCTTGTTTCATAAACAGTACCGGGACAAAAGATAATTGTTTTTTTCATTTTATCCAGAGTTGGAGATGAAGCATTAATCGCCATTGGAGAAGGTTGCTCCTTACAACAACTAAATGTAACTGGTTGTCATCAAATTGGAGATGCTGGAATCACAGCAATAGCCAGAGGCTCTCCTCGACTCACTCACCTTGACATTAGCGTACTTCAGGTAAATAAAACCAAACCAAAAACTCTTCATGTAGCCTAAATTTTCTCGACAAAAGAGCTTGTTATTGAGATCTTAACCTCGGGTTTTGATCAGGACGTTGGAGACATGTCGTTGGCTGAGCTTGGAGAAGGATGTCCAATGCTCAAAGACTTGGTCTTGTCCCATTGCCACGATATAACAGACAATGGTCTGAACCATCTTGTAGAGAAGTGCAAGTTGCTAGAGACTTGTCACATGGTTTACTGTCCAGGGGTCACTTCGGCAGGAGTGGCTACTGTCGTCTCGAGCTGTCCTCACATCAAAAAAGTGTTGATAGAGAAATGGAAAGTGAGCCAGAGGACGATAAGGAGAGCTGGATCGGTTATCTCTTATCTCTGTATGGATCTCTAGACCGTAATTTCAAGGTCGGTTTAGAAGATTTATGTTTTGTCTTAATAAAGTCATTTAAGTCCAAACTTATGTAGAGATATACTAGTCGTTGTTTGTACCATTTATTTATATATCTATAAGTTTCATGTAAACTGTTTTGGAAAAGTTTGTGACGAATATTTCATATACTATTTGTTTTAATTATTTTGCAATTGCTGTTTGGAAAAAGATATTATCAAAACACATATACATGAAACCCTCAAATAAAATGTTTTTGCAAGCACAAAATGGTTCAATAATGCGTAGGTCAAACAATTTGATGAC